GACAAAGATTTGTCCTGACTGTGGGCAAAGCAGGAAAACTCAAGCTACACAACTTTGATCCCAGCACTGGAGGCAGAGGCAGAGGCAGGCAGATCTGAGTTCAAGGCCAACCAGGGCAACATAGTAAGACACTGTCTCAAAAAAAACATACCAACAAAAAAGCGTGTTGAGTCCTTGAGCCTTAAATTCTATTGTGTGCCTAAAGGTCAAGATGAAATGTGCAAAGAAGTCACCCTTATTGCTCCTAATACTAAAATGCCAGAAGTTAGCATTTGCCCCATGCTGCTCCTCAGACTAAACGCCTTGGGTCATTACCTATGACCCTATCTATAATCCTCAGGTACACCAAGAAGATGGTTTGGCTAATTATATTTTAAAGATCTGATCCTGCAAGGGTAACTTCTCTTTTTGGGTTTTCGAGACAGGGTTTCTCTGTGGAGCTTTGCGCCTTTCCTGGAACTCACTCTGTAGCCCAAGCTGGCCTCAAACTCACAGAGACCCTCCTGCCTCTGCCTCCCGAGTGCTGGGATTAAAGGCATGCGCCACCACCGCCCGGCTAATTCTCTCTCTTTTTTTAAGTTTTATTTTTAATTATGTGTATGCCTATGTGTCTGCGTGAGGACATATGCACGGGAGCGCAGCTGCCAGGGAGGTCAGAAGAGGGCCCTGGATCCCCCTGGAGCTGGAATCCCAGTTGGAAGCCACCCAGTGTGGGTACTGGGCACGGAACTTGGCTCCTCTGCAAGAGCAGTACGGGCCTTTAACCCCCGAACTGTCTCCCTTGCCCCGTCAGCCTTTCTTCATATTCTCATTAGAGTGTCCACTGTGATCATGCGGGAATGGTTACCAAATCCTCCTGCAGTGTGTAAGCCGAGGCCCGTAAGGGTTTTGTTGCAAACAATGACGATAAGAAGCTGCAGGGTTCTACACATCCAGCACGGTGAGGGTTGTCAGACTGGTCCCTAGGATAATGTGGTCCTCGGAGCGGGTAGGGTCTAGCTACGCACCAGGGGAGTCCACAAAACGACCGAGGACCCCAGCATAGGCGCCACCTCCGGCCCCAGACACAGGAGGAAGGGGCGGGGCCTCCACAAGCCGGTGCCGGAAGTGCCTCTCCGCCCCTGCCACTGGACCATGGAGACCGTGGCCCAGTAGAGACCTTAGTGCGGGACTTGCAGGGGCGGTGGACATGGAGGCTGTGCTGAACGAGCTGGTGTCTGTGGAGGATCTGAAGGTGAGGCCCGGGCCAGAGGAAGGAGGAGGGCAGAATCGGAAAGGACAGTTCCGGAGGAGAGCTGACCAAGGCCGAATACTGCCGGCTTAGGCTTGCTGGGGAAGCCGAACTACGGCTCCCAGCAGCCGCTGCGGTGTCCTGCTCTTGCGGGAACCTGCGCTTTATCCCTTGGCCTGATGGGAGTTGTAGTTTCCAGGGTTTCGGCTCCTCAAACCCGAGGCCTGGAGTCTTGCGGGGGCGCTTAAGTGTGATGCAGAGTTGGGAATTTGGGGTACTCGTGCGAGGGATGAGGTACAATAGTCACCGGCATAAGCTTTTGCTAGTGTTGAGTCCGGCATGGTTCGCTGCATGTTAACCCGCATCCTTGTAGCAGTATTTTCTTTCCTTTTCTAGAATTAAGGTAAGGCAGATCCAGGCTCAAAAGAGTAGGTGGGACGGCACCAGCAGCCTTAGGCGAAGTCCGCGAAGAAGGTCATTTATCTGCTGGGACAGTATGTTTACTGTTCAGCTACTTGGGGTCAGCTGGTCTGGGAGCAGTGCCCGCAGCTGCCACCAGGTGGCATCTCCTCTTGGTACCACTAGGGGCTGGGTGCAGGGGCCTCGCGAGGGGAGGGCACAGAGCCTGGGTGCCAAGGCCACGGTGGACGGGAAAGTGTGGTCTCACGGGCACTCAGACACCAAGTTCAGCTGGAGGACACCCTCTGTTCCTAACTGATTCTTCTTTTCTCTGACGACAGAATTTCGAAAGGAAATTTCAGTCTGAGCAGGCAGCTGGCTCTGTTTCCAAAAGCACGCAGTTTGAGTATGCCTGGTGCCTGGTGCGAAGCAAGTACAATGACGACATCCGAAAAGGCATCTTGCTCCTGGAGGGTAAGGCGCTGGGTCCCCTTGACCTCCCCCGCCCAGGACCCTTTTCAGCCCTCCTCACCTCATAGCTAACCCAGTAGCCACCAGTAAATTCACAGCAGCCAAGGACTAGGTTGGTTCTCTATATCCCCAATTTCAACATCCGAACATTGATTCAAGTGGGGAAAAATACATGTTCTCAGGCTGGGGAGATGACTCAGAGTGCTTCCTGTGCAGGTGTGAGGACCTGAGTTCAAATCCTTAGCACCCATGGAAAAGCTGAGTGTGGCCACAAGCACCTGTATATAGAGAATAGGAATGAAGTGCTGCTGGGGGGGGGGGAGGATTGCTTCTGCCATCTTTGCCCGGGTTCAGTGGGAGACCCTTTCTCCGGGGAGTGGGCAGAGAGTGCCTCTGGCCAGGCCTCTGTGCGTGCATCTGCACACAAGTTTCCATACGTACCACACCCACAGTGTCCACAAAACATTTCTTGTTCAGTTATTAATTGCTGTTAATATAGCATTTACATTGTATTGGGTAACAGTAATTTAGAAAGTTTTAGAGATGTGAAATATCTGAGGGGCTAGTGGTATTGGGGACATGTGATCCCGCCACTCGGAAGGTGGAGGCATGGGGACATAGTTCAGTAGTAGAGCATCGACTGCAGAGATGAAGGCAGGAAGTTCAAGACCAGAGTCAGCTACATACTGATCAAATTCGAGGTCAGCCTGGGCTACCTGAGTACCCTGTCTCAAAAAAGCGTCCTTGGGGAATACAACTAGTTATCTATGCAAATACTATTTAATTTTATATAAGGGCCTTTACATCTGTAGATTGGAATCTGAGGGGCATCTTTGAGAATCTCAGAGGTCATCAAGGGACAGTATTGTACTGACAGAACATGCCTGTGTCGTTTAGTTGTTTTTGAGTTTGACTCGGGGTCTCTGTATAGCTCAGGGAGCTCCGACTTCCGACTTCTGCTTCAGCCGTCTTAGTGCTAGGAGTTGAGATGTGCCGGGAGCTCCAGGGTCCCTGTAAAAGCAAACACTGTCCCTGGACTCTGATCAGTGCCGATTTTTCAGGTTTCTGGTGTAGTAGGACAAACAGTAGACGTGGTCTCGGGGCATGTGAGTCTCACTGGGGGCTCAGTACAGACACTGCGAAGGTCCCAACGCTGGACACCTTCTTAGCGGCACAGTGTAGCTGCATACACCAGTAACGCCAGCACTCAGGCTCAGGCACCGATTGGGAGTTTGAAACCAGCTTGGGCTACATAGTGAGTCCCTGTCTTTTTTTTTTAGACCGGGTTTCTCTGTGTAGTTTTGGTGCCTGTCCTGGATCTCCCTCTGTAGACCAGGCTGGCCTCGAACTCACAGAGATCCGATGGCTCTGCCTCCCAAGTGCTGGGATTAAAGGCATGCATGTGCTGCTGCTGCTGCCGCTGCCCAGCTATTTTTTAATTTTTTTTTTTATTTTATGTGCATTGATGTGAGGGTGTCAGATCCCCTGGAAATGGAATTGTGGACAGTTGTGAGCTCCCATGTGGGTGCTGGGAATTGAAGCCTGATCCTCTGGAAGAACAGCTGGTGCTCTTAACCACTGAGCCATCTCAGCTATGAGTCCCCATCTTAACTCCTATCACACATAGACACATACAGAGAAAATGAAAAAAATTTCAGGTGAGGGTCACTCAGGAAAGTTGAGTTAAAAGAGAAGGGGGCGTGTTGTGGTGGTGCAGGTCTTTAATCCCAGCACTCGGGAGGCAGAGGCAGGTAGATCTCTGAGTTTGAGGCTAGGCTGGTCTATAGAGGGAGTTCCAGGACATCCAGGGATCCACAGAGAAAGCCTGTCTCAGGGAAAGGGGAAAAAAGCCCAGTCAGCAGGGTACCTGTCTACTATGTATGAAACGCTGGTTCCGTTCGACTCCTACACGGCATAAACCAGGCGTGGTCTGTACCACTCAGGAGGTGGTAGCAGGAGGATTAGAAAGAAGTTCTGGTCATCCTTGGCTAGATGACACAAAGGAGAGGCTGCGAATGTGAGGCAGGGGGTGACCTTGCAGTGACACCCATAGCTAGCCCATAGGGATGTACCCATCGATGTGGACTGGAATCCCTGCATCCGCCGCGGGTATCTGGCGGGCTCACGCTGCTCAGGACTGGAACTAGAAAGCTAAGAGTGGTAGAAAATGGTAATGGAGGTCTAGGACAGTGGCTTCCCCTGATCGTAGAGTGAATCAGCATGGCAGGACCTGTGGGACACAGTGTTAAAAGAGAATCCAGGGGCTGGAGAGATGGCTCAGCAGTTAAGAGCACTAGATGCTCTTCCAGAGGATTTGAGATCAGTTCCCAGCACCCACATGGCAGCTCACAACTGCCTATAACTCGGGGTCCAGAGGATCCCAGCACCCTCACACAGACATAACATGCAGGCAACACACCAATGCACATAAAATAAATATAAATTTAAAAAGAGAGCATCCATCTTTCTCCTCCCCCTCCCCCATGCAGAGCTGTTGCCCAAAGGGAGCAAAGAGGAACAGCGGGATTATGTCTTCTACCTGGCAGTGGGCAACTACCGTCTCAAGGTGAGGTGCAGAGCCCTTCTGCCCTGCGCATTCCCCCAGAGCGAGCCCTGGCCCGCAGGAACCGCAGAGGGCAGGGGGCTGGGGCGGTGTAAGTGCATGGTGTAGAGTAATTCCGGGACAGACTCTAAGGGAAGATGAGGGAGTATCAGGGTGTGGGGACCGTGGTGACGTCAGGATTGGGGTGCAGCCCCGTGCCTGTAGCTGTTATCTCCACTAGCTTATCACCCCCCACAGCTGGGCTGTTTGTGGACTCTACTCTGTGGGGTGGGGCTGTAGCAGGAATGGAGAAGGAGGAGGAGGAGGAGGAGGAGGAGGAGGAGGAAGGATGAGCCTGAGCCGGGGCCAGAGAAGGACACCCCTGGGTGGGAGCTGGCAAGGGGAGCGCCCTGAAGGGTGTACGGTGTGAGGTGTCCCCTCTGACTACAGGAATACGAGAAGGCTTTAAAGTATGTGCGAGGGCTGCTGCAGACTGAGCCCCAGAACAACCAGGCCAAGGAGCTGGAGCGCCTCATTGACAAGGCCATGAAGAAAGGTGACAGGCCTCTCGTCCCTCATGCCCGGGGCCCTTGGGAACACCCCCGCATAGTCCTTGACCACACCTACCTCCCGAGGGTCTCTGTAGCCTTGGAGTCCCAGCCCCCAGACTCTGGGTACAGGTGCCTCTCTTCTGTGGAGGGGAGTGTGGTCAGGGGCCCTGGGGCAGGACTGATCTGCTCACGGCCCCCTCTTTCCTTTCCAGATGGACTAGTAGGCATGGCCATTGTTGGGGGCATGGCCCTGGGTGTGGCAGGACTGGCTGGACTCATTGGACTAGCTGTCTCCAAGTCCAAATCCTGAAGACAGCCTCACCCGCTCTCTGCCCTGGCGCACCTGGGAGCCTGGGGACACTGGAAGAGGGTCCTGTCCATCCGTCCTCACCATGGCCTTGCCTTGTCTTCCCCAACCCTCGTCATCCACTCCACAGTCTCCTCCTGACCTTCAGCCTCCCATCCCGACACCTGTTGTTAGCCCTAAGTCATGCTTTGCGATGAGTGTAAATAAAATTGGGCTGTGGCTTGGGAACCTCTGTGTCTGAGTGGCTGCTGAGGGAGGGGCAGGTTCGCTGGGTGCACTGTGGCCCCCACTGCCCCCCTCCAGGCTCCTTTGCCGGCATCCCAGCCCACACCCTTCCTTCCTCCCCTATCCTGAATCCTCGAGGCAGGAACAGGGCTAGGAGGACCTGGCTTTTCCATTGCCCCAGAACCCTGGAAGAGAACAGCAAACAGAGGGAGCAGCGGCCTGGGATTTACGACTGTGGTCTCCTCTGACCCACTAAGCTGCCTGGGAGTTTCCACTGCAGGGGGCCCCCACTGGGCTTCCTCCGAAAACCTCCGCCCTTCCCTCCCTTTGTCCTCCTGCCCCCTCCCCTTCCTCTACCCAGTCCCTCTCCTTAGGGGGGACACGGATGGATGACGTAGAGAGAGGAAGCCCTGTGAAGATGGCAGGGGCCGTGGGGGCTGCCGGGCACACGATTCCCCAATCCCAGCCTGTGGGACGGGAGGCAGAGATCTCACAGATCTCACCCCACGCCCCCTGTGCCAGGCTGTGCGTGGGCCTGTTTGGCTTCTCTGCATACTTCTCATTCCACAGCCCCTGCCAGGCTTGCTAGGGGGTGGGAGGAGGTACCTGAGGGGAGCCCAGAGGAGCCTGATGCCAGAAAAGGTAGGGATGGGGAGCGACAGAGGGCACAGCTCTGTCTCACATATTCTGGGAAAGGAACCCTGGTGCCAACTTGCCAAGCAAGAAGTGGCTGAGAAAGAAATTATACTCAGCCAGGGTTGGGTGGGGGACCCAGAGGCTTCCCTTTATCAGAATTAATTAATAGAGCTGGTGATAGTTCCCAGTTAAGTGGATAGGTAGAGAGATTAACCAGAATCATGCCCTAGACCTGTGATCCATCCCTCAACCCTGGGCCCCTGGCCCCTTGGCAGCCAGATCAAACTCAATACCGTAGAGTCAAAGGTCAGCTCCGGGAGGGACAATTCAAGTTCAGGAAGTTTGGAGGAAAGTAGCATTTAGTGGCCTCACCTCAGCCCCGCGGCATTCAGATCCAGGGCAATTACCAACCGCTGGGGCAATAGGAGTGTGCCGGGAGCTGTGATCTGTGGTCCCAACTTCCATTACAACCTAAGAAGCCAATAATGTTGTGTCAACAAGGCTGAGAGCCAAAACCCAAGCCCAGGGCCCTTTGATAATGTTGGAGTCTAAGTGGGAACCCGGTTGGAGGGATTCCAGAGCTCCCGTCACCCCGTAATCAACCTTCATGGTCCTCGGAGACTGAAGTGTCCCAACCCCAGGGTCTTCAGTGTCTTAGGCTGCTCTCAGGTCTCTAAATCCATCATGGAAGCCTCTGGTGGGCCTGTTGGAAGTTTTCTTCCCTTGACACTCTGGTCTCTCAGTTACCTAAAACTCTTTGTCCCTCTGATTTTATTCCCCGACCCTGGTGACAGCTGAGTCAGAGACAGGCCACTTCCCCTGGATTCCTGATGGATCCCTGGGGGCTGCTCCTTGGCTGTATCCCTGAGTCTCCTAGTCAGTCCAGCCTCCCCCCTCCTAGGGCGGGGAGTCCCGGGCTAGGCCGGGGGAGGGGGTGGACTTTTGGCCCGTTTATTCCCTCCATCACAGTCAACAGCTGCCGAGCGAGCGGAGCAGGCTTGGCTCATTCCTCTGACCTGCCAGGAAGCAGAGAGTCCCAGAGACTGGACCGAGACAGTCAGACCTGGGCTCCAGGAGAAGGCAGACGGGGATCGCAGCTGGACAGGCTGTCCTTCAGCCTTCTCCCTCCTCAGTCTTCCTTAGCATCGCTTTGGGGCCAAAAGCCCCCAGAATTCCCCTGGAGGTACCACCTCTATCCCGATCCCTGGGGCTCGAGCCCCTTGGGGCACCTGCACCCCAGCATGTCTATAGCTGTGGAGACCTTCGGCTTCTTCATGTCAGCCCTGGGACTGCTGATGCTCGGCGTGACGCTCCCAAACAGCTACTGGAGAGTGTCCACCGTGCACGGGAACGTCATCACCACCAACACCATCTTTGAGAACCTGTGGTACAGCTGTGCCACAGACTCCATGGGAGTCTCCAACTGCTGGGAGTTCCCTTCCATGCTGGCGCTCTCTGGTATGGGGTGAAGGGGCCTCTAGGGGACAGAGGGAGGTTGGGTGGCCGGCTGGAGATATCCAAGCCGAGAGGGTGGATGTGGTTGCCTTTGGCCTGGCCCTGGGCACCATCGTGATACAAGTTCAGATGAAGCTCTCAGTTCTGGGCCGCTGCAGCAAAGAGTTCTGCATGACCCCGAATGGGATGGGACGCATGGTTCTCTGCCCTAATATGCGATCCTCTACCAGCTAAGTCAAGCTTCCAGACGCAAGCCAGGCCTCGGGTAGCTCCAGGCCTCAGATGAATGAGGGAATACATTTGGTCTTGGCCGTCTGCAAGCTAAGAGTAATCGTGGTGCCCGCGCGCAGGTGGTCATGAGGCCCCGACACGTGCAGGCGTGAACGAACGGGATGTTGACTGTCTACTTTAGTGCTTTATTCTGGGGAGGGTTTGCTCAGTTGGCAGGGGTGAGAACGAGACACCATCTTGGTTGACTGACTGCCAGCCTCAGCAGCTCTCTAGACAGCCACAGATTGTGGTCTACCTGTCCTGCTGAACTCGGGGGCCCCTGGACACAGCTGGCTTGTTTTGGAGGAGAGTCTCCTGGGAAGTCTGAGTGGATGCTGGAGAGGTGGTTTTGTGGACGTGCCTGTGGATGTGGGGCTCAGAGTGTGGGTTTTGTTGTTGTTTTGTTTGAAGGTCCTAACATGGCTCCAGCCTGCAGCTCTAACTTGGGCCCTGGCCCTTCTTTGCGGCCGGCATTGCCTGTCTCTTGCTCTCCTGCACAGCCCTCCCTGGCTCCGCCTGCCATCATTTCCCCCAAGGAGTCCATCTGGACTTCCTAGTCTCCCCCATGCTACAAAGACTAAAGTCGGTGACCATGAACCAACCCTCCCTGGTTGTTCTGCCACTAAGTTCTGGTCTCGCTTTTCTGGGAGTCCAGCTGCAGGTGATGAGTGGGTGGGAGACAACGAGACCAGCCCAGGGTGGGAAAGTGAATGCTGTGCAATGGCCCCATGAATCTGGAAGATGCCCTGAGCGGTGGTGGTGTCTGGGTGATCTCCGGCACCCCTCTCTCCCCAGATCTCCTGAGGTAGCTGTGGGCAAGGGTTTCATCCTCCGGGACCTCTGATTGTGTTCCACCCCAAACCTTTGGAAAAGCTGGTCTGTTCTGGACCACAGACTCAGAGCAATAAGAAGGGACCAGAGATGTGGGCAACGCAGCGCCCAGCCAGCCTGCTGCATCTCTGGTGTGCAGAGGCCATTTTGCTGTGAGCCTGGCCACCTAAGAGGGGCCTTACATGGTGTCACCACTCTGCCTGCAAGAGAACGCGAGTGTGGAGGAAAGTCACATGGGAGTTTGCTGGGGGTGATGGAGGGTAGAGGGCCTTGAGGTGCCCAGGCCTCCAGGGCTCCTGTCACCTCCCTTCTGGGTTTTTTGGTTTGGCTTGGTGTGTGTGTGTGTGTGTGTGTGTGTGTGTGTGTGTGTGTGTGTGTGTGTGTGGTGTTTTGAGGCATAGTGTTGCGCTATGTAGTCGGGTTCCTGATCTCACTATGTGGTCCTAGGCTGGTCCTAAACTCAGAAACATCCTCCTGCATCAGCATCCTGGGATTACAGGTGTGCACCATAATATCCAGTTCTCCTTTTATGTGG